TGAGACAGTTCCAGCTCAATGGTATATAATAACAACAAGAAAATACATTTGAACAGGAGGATTAGACTAAGGAAAGGTCCTCTTGATCTCTAGGGGATTGTTATACCAATCTAAAATGATCATATACCTACCTACCTTCAAACCAGAAATCTCCTTACTTTATTATGCTTTTACCATTCATAGCAAAGGAATATAGATAGATAGATAGATAGATAGATAGATAGATGATAGATAGATAGATAGATAGATAGATAGATAGATAAAATTAAAGTCACATTTAACTGAATACCACTAGGCACTTTTTTAATGAGAAACAAAATTATACATATATACAAATGAATAATCTTACCTCGATCATCTTTAAATGGTATTACCATAAAGGAAATTTTAATTTTCAATCATCCCTGAACTAAGTAATTGATAATTTTCAATCTTGCTTGAACATCTAGAAGAATGATCTAGAAGAAATTAATGTAATCTTTGTTGTGGGATTTAAAAGAAGCACAATAGCTTTTGAATAAATAAAGAAAATAGGTAAATAGCTGAGGAACTGTCAATCTCAAAGTAGAAAGGCAAAGTCAAAGAGAAATATACAAATTTACCTTCCTGTAGCAAAGCTAAGAGGGAGACAAGAAACAGAAAGAATATTATTCTCACAAAAATATTTTCTCTCTTGTTTGTTCAAAACATATCAGCAGGGGAAAAAAATTACAAAATCATGATGAAATGAACCAATCCTCAAAGCAATAAACAAGCAAACAAAAGAAGAACAGTATTTTGACTGCAACTCACTCAGACCAGCAGGGTCCAGAGAAGTCTTTGTTGCCACAAGGCAGCTGGTGTCTGAGGATACAAAACTCTTTTTCTTCCAATGTCACATTAAATCCTGGGGCACAAACTAGGGGCAGATTGCAAAGCTACTTGTTTCCTAATACAGGACTGTATGGATCACAAATAACAGCATATGAACCAAAATAATTAGTGCATATGCATAACAAACAAAAAAATGACTGGTATATAAGTTTGAAAAAAAATATATATATATATAGGTAAGCTAATAGTTTATTTAGCCCAGAAAGAAAGAAAACGGAATGAGAGATGCAGGCAGACAGAAACGTACACAAGAAAACAGAATGAGATAAAATGACTTGATAGTGAGGTAATAAAACAGTCTGTAAATTATAGAATACACTATCCAGAAGAAAGATTTGGTTTATATTTCAATGCATGTAGAAAAGATTAGCATAAAGTCAGGTTTGGTTTTGTTTTTGCTTTTACTTTTCTTATTGTGTACCATTGAGTTGATCCGACTGGCACAGGGGAGATTGATTCTCCTTCTCCAGTGGAGTATCTGGTGGATTTGAACCACGTGTCTTCGGGATTAAGTGCAGCTTCTTGCCACTAGGCAACCAGAGGTGCCTATTAAGTCAATTTTAATAGAACCTTATTTCCTCTTCACATGTGGCCACTGCTTAAGTTATCGAGAGTTATTATAAAGGAAATCAATTTGTTCTACTTTAAACCTGTTGCTGTTGAAATAGTTCAGACCCTACAGGAGAGAACAGAACTTCCATAGGGTTGGAAATCTACACATATTTGTGGGAGCAGGCTGCCTCATCTTTCATCTGTTTAGCTGGAAGTTTCCAACTGATGATCTTTTGGTTTAGAACAGAGCACTTACCCAACTGTGGTTCCAACACTCATTTCCTTATAGTTTAAAAGGCTAGAAATCCAAATCACATTACTGACTATGTCCTAAGGGGGCTCTGCTTTCAGTTAGCTCTGGATGGAAAGTTTTTTGTTTTGTCTTCCCTCAGCTTCTTAGTAATGGCTCCATTTCTAGGTAAACTTCATGTGGTGAAGATCTATCCTTCCTAGTCTCTGCTTATTTCTCCATGGCTAATCTGCTCTTTTGTATACCTCAAGGGCTTAAAATGTTCCCCATACCATTATGTGTGTTCGTTTTCATTCGTTCGTTCTCTTGCGCTCTCACTCTCTCTCTCTCTCTCTCTCTCCTCTCTCCTCTCTCTCTTTCTCAATAAGCCATGCACTGGGAAAGCCACCTTCATGATCATGGTATCTCTCCTACCAGGTAAGTATATATTTCCTCTTAACAAAGAAGATCCATTACCAAATAGGATAATAATCATAAGACTAGGTGTTAAGTTTTGTAAACAATCTATTCTGGAAACACAATTCAATACGTAAGAGTTATAAAAGTCTCCTGATAAACATGTCAAATAAATCATAAAAAATTAGCAATTTCTCTGAAGTACATCTGTTAAAATACACAATGTGAATAACCCCCTAAATTTAAAAAATATTCAATTAGACAGCCATGGGAATTAGATGGGACTGAAATTGAAGTTTTCAATGATTTCATCTTCCTTGGATCCACAATTAACATCCTTGGTACCACCAGTTAGGAGATGAGGAGACATATTACCCTGAGTAACTGTCCTGTCAGAGATCTCCCCAAATCACTGAGGAACACGATATCTATTTAAAGGTTAAGGTGTGACTGATTCTAGTCATGTTCTTGTCAATCATTTGCTATGCATCTGAAATCTGGACAATGAGTAAGGAGGATATACCTTTGAGTTATGGTGTTGGAGAAGAGTACTGAATATCCCATGGACTACTTAAAGAACAAACATACATTTTGCAAAAAGTGGAGCAAGAGTGCTCCTTGGAGGTAAGGATGTGAAAGCTCTGTCTCACATACTTTGGGCATGTTGCTAGTATAGACTATTTCTTGGAGAGGCACATTGTGCTCAGAGAGGCAGAAGACGAGTCAAAGAGAAGACCCTCAATGAGATGGATTGACACAATCACTACAGCAATGGGCTGAAGTGCATCAGGGATTGTGAGGATAACAGGATAGGACAGGGTTCAGACATGTTCATAAGGTCATCTTGAGTCGTATTAACTTGACATCACCTAACAACAACAATGGACAGCACAAATAGCATGAGTATAAATACCTACGGTAGTATTAGTCATTATAGTGGGTGTAAGGAGAATTCATGGCATAGTAGGTTAAGTGTTGAGGTGCTCACTAAAAGGTCAGTAGTTCAAAGCTCTGAAAGACGTACAAAGCAGTCTCCTCTCATTAACAGCCTCAGACACTTGATGGAAAGTCACCATGAGTCAAAATCAACTTGACAGCAGTGGTTATAAAGTAAGCATGATTTTTATCATTATTACCCAACCACTTGAAAATTACACCCAACACTAATATCAGTTCTCTAAAGGTATAGTGATATAAATCATGCCCGTTTTCAAGAAGCTAAGATAACCTTACAGTGATTTTTCTTCCCCACTGTGGGCTCCTCTGGCAGCTTTTGGAATTTAAAATTCTAAGTAATTAAATCCTTTCCTCATTCTGATGCAGAGAAACACCTTCCTCTACCCCCAAAATGTGCTGGAAGGACATCATTATTTATATATTATCTATATAATTTAGCTTGCAATATTCAGTTCAACATGTATCAATAGGAGACTCAGACTCCTAGCTTTTAAAATTGCTCAGAGCTCTTCTCACTCCTGCTCTCTTACCTTCAGTATGGGCATATGTACTTTTAGAATCTACTGCTTCCTTTTGGATTCATTTCAGGACTTTTATTTACAGGCACCATTTACATTAGACCAAACTGCATTTCAAATATTAATTAATAAAATATTAAATACTTCTTAAGTACAATGCCATTGTATAAAACAATATACTGACCTTACAACTGTGATATAATTTCATATTGAAGTATATTGAAAATTTTCATTCAATCAATCTTCTAAAATCATTTTTTAAAATTCAAATTTCATTGAAAGAAAATATTCACATTTCCCAAAATAATCCCAAGAGCTTCGTAACATTAAAATGAGAGGGAGAAAAAGTCAGAGTAAGACATTTCCTACTCAAGTATTATGTTATTGAAAATTCCATTTTAAACATGTTATTAATTAATTAAAAATATTATACAAAATAGGTGACCCTGGAGGACATTATGCTGAGTGAAATCTCTCAGTCACCAAAGGACAAACTGTACAATGCCACTGTTATAAAACAGGACTTGCTTGGGGGTTGGAGGGACACTAAGAAAAGCGGGGATAAATAATGTATACTGCATTGAAACAGATGAGGGAAAGAACTGTTTAAAATGAATTTATGATTAGGTATTATTTGCATGACAACAGTCCAGAACAAGAGCTTCATAGCAAAGTGGACTGGGGGTAGAGTGGGGATGAAATTGTGCAACAAGAATTTTTTAATATTTTTCAAAGAGAACTCGGGGGTAGGGAATGTGCAACAATGAATAATTGGAAATCCACATTCTCTATAAACCTGTTAAAATCTCAATTAAAATAAAAAAAAGAATATTTTTATTAAGAAAACGTTTTTCCTTTTTCATCCTATTGCCAATAGGCTTAGAGAAATAGTTTATCACTTATCAAGGGTAATACTGGTGAATCTTTGCATTTTACACTAAAACTCAATAAAGCTCATCGTCATCAACTCAGAACCACCTCACAGCTGACTTTCCATTGGCTTTCTGGGGCTTACATCACATAGGAGGACACTTCACATCTTTCTCCCATAGAGCACCTTGTGGATTTAAATGATCAGAGAGATACAGGATTTAGGTTTGCATGTTTACTCCCCACTGATAACATCACTGGAGCTTGCCAAATTTCACTATAGATCAATTCACATACATATTAGTTAACATGTCCTCATTGTTAAATTTCTTAAACAAAAAAGGGAAATGACATGATTCTGCAGCCAAAATAAATGAATCTCACTACAAAATAATCTGTTCTATGTGCTTTTTCTTGTAGACACACACACACACAAGCACATGCACATACGCATACACGGGGGGGGGGGGGGAGAGAAAGAGAGAGACAGAGAGTGAGAGTCAGACAGAGAGCACAAAGCATCTATTTTTGAATTTTCCTGAAATCAAGTGCAGCCTTCAGCACAGCCATCAGTGTGGCCTTACCTGGAGCCATAACTTGTTATGCACAGCGTCTCTCCCAGTAGCGATACACTGAAACGTAGCATTCTGTCCTGCGTTGACCTCCACATCCCCCAGACGAAGGAAATGGGGAGATTTATCTGTGAAACAGAGGGGGAAAAAACACAAAAACCTCTCATAAAAAATACCCAAACCCCAAGCACGTTATTTTTCCCTATAGAATGACGCTTTCAGTACATTTTACCCTTGGCTATAACTAATATCATAGGTTAAAAAAAAAAGAGTTTTACTCACATAAGGAGAAACTATATTCTCTCTCCCTCTCAAAGATTTCTAATCGTGCCACTGCTTATTTTCCCATAGCTGCTAGCTCACTGCTCTGTACAGAGTGAGCACTCAATAATTGGAACTGACTGGCAGAACATATTGTGTAAGAGTGATACTAAAACTAATATAACTCAATGCAAGAGATTAAATAGGAACAAAGCCAAAAATAATATGCAAATATAATGAAAATGTATTTTTATGCTAGAGCTGTTAAGTCAGAACTAACTCATAGATGATCCTTCAGTGTGTTTTGGAGGCAGTAAATCACAAATCCTGAATGTCCATCCTTCTTCCTCAGAACCATGGGTGATTTTGACCCAAAAGCAGGTAGGGGCCTTTGGGTCAACAGCACAACTGCCTATGGACTTTGCAGTGAAGTGATTCTGTTCTATTAGAAAATACAAAATAGACGGTCATCCTATTTACATCTCTGATGCCTCACCTCAGTAGAGGTTCTGGAAAAGATATTTTTGAGCTAACACATGAGCTGGAATGATCATTTTTAAGAATAGTAGCATCAGCATTACAGTAACACCTGAGAAAACTCCCTCGTCTTCTAGTCAGTTCCAACCCATAGTGATCCCATGTGTTTCAGTGTAAAATTGTGTTCCACAGGGATTTTTTGGGTTTTTGTTGTGTTTTTCCCCCCCCCAATGGTTGTTATTCTCAAACTAGAACACCAAGCCTGTCTTCTGAGACATCTCTGGGTAACTCAAACTACTAAATATCTTAGTAAGTAGTTGAGTGTGTTATTCCTTTGCTCCAATCAGCAACTCAGGGAACTTGTTAGAAAAGTAGTTTATTTGCCCAGGCCAGACTTAATGAATCAGAACTAATGGAGAAGCCAGCAGCCTGTGATTTCCAAAACCAAATATGATTCTGACAAATGCTAGTGCTTGACAGATGCACAGCACTTGCCCTCATCAGCTGCCGCATCCACACTACTTACAAAGCAGACACATTTCTGTGTGAGATGATTACAGAATTCCGAAATTCTGATTATCCAGAACTGAAGAGCACTAGAGAACGCTGTCACCGAGAAATATATCTAAACATAGTTGTATTATGCTTGAAGGAGTTCCAGTGGTTTAGTGCATTACATATTATGTAATGAATCAAAAGATCAGCAGTTCAAATCCAACAGTTGCTCCACTGGAGAAAGATGGAATCACCTCCCGTAAAAACTTACAACTTCAGAAAACCAAGGGAGGGCTGTGATGAGTTGGAACTGACTTGACAATGGGATTTCAGAGGGCAGGTTTCAGGCTTGTATTTAATGAATACAAGCAATAATTCTTTCTGATGAAACACACATAATCTCTCATTCCTCCCAAGTTAGGATCATAAATGATCCTCTACTGGGTTTCCAGGTCAATGATAGAGGAGGAGAATGCCCATCCTTCTCCCATGGGCTCTCTGGCAGATCTGAATAACCAGGGAAGTGTATCCATTAGGTTAGCAGGGCCTTTCCCTATTGGCTATGCTCCCAGAGTGCCATTTAATAGACACAAAAATTTAGTTATTCCATTTGAAAACCAAACAATGTGCACCTGATCCTATTCATATACTACCTGTAAAATCTGTGTGTTTACAAGTATTTTCTCCTTTTTAAAAATCATTATTAATCAGAGTTTGATGATAATGTCATCAAACACTCATTCTTAATGTTTGCAATAAATTGGGCTATTTCTTTCTCTTTTTATCATCCCCAACTTCAGTTTAGCAGAAAAACATAGAGAGTAATTTTAAAAAATGTCCACCCACTCTTAGTTGAATGCTGCTTTATTATTCATCTTTTCTTCCCTACGTAATTTAGTAATACTAGCAAGAAAATTGAGCATGTCGAACATAGATCTGAATTGACAATATATTCTCCATAATAAAACACTTTAAGAGTCTTTCCATATATGTATAATTAGTTATGAGTCCAAAAATATTTTGTTTGGAAACTATACTAATAATTCACTGTTCGTTTAAAAGTTAACAGCGAACGGAAGACTAAGAGTTACAACAACAAAAGAAACAGCAATGACCAAGTGATAAACAATCAACAGTCATTGCCAATATAGAAGACAGGTGTTCCCAGGGCATACAAAAATACAATTCTTAATCACAACCTACCACAAGGATAGCTTAGAACTTGGATGTCATCAATAGCAATATAGCCACTTCTCCCTCCTGAGACTTCAGCTTCAAATATTACCTGTCAGAAAGAAATAGAAAACATTTACAGCAATCATTTGCAGAGAATTTCCACAGTGGAAGGGCAACAGCTACATCTCGTTTAATAAAAATTAAATTTGCTTTGTATCCTAGAAGAATTAAAACATATTTTGCAGTGGAATTTCCTAAGTCTTGTCATAAGTAAACAAAATATCGGTACAGCAATTAAATTACTGAGGTCATAGAAGTTTCATAATGTTTTAAAGCAAATGATGTTTTATGTTGCCAGCATCTCTAAAAGAAGCAGAATATAAGCAGGATGAATGGGCATATATAAAAAAATATAACAAAAATCCTCTCTGAAAGTTAATGTTTTACTACGAACTTCTAATATTTTTATTATTTACTTAATATATGGTATGATCATTTGATATGTGCCAAACAGTTTACTGACCACAGAAGATAAGAAATAAAGAAAAGATTAACCTGGAAGCAGGAGTGAATCCACTGCCTAAAACTCTATGAACTTTGATAAACATCAATAGTTGCAGAAAGGCTTCAGGCCTTTTGTTCATAGGTTCACTATGAGTCATGCTCGATTCAAAAGCAATCAACAACAACAATAACAGCAACAACAACGAATTAATTTGAGATTGTAAGCAACTGAATAGTCAAGACAAAAGTCACCAGATAAGTTGGTTCCTTTCTAAAGAAAAGAATAACATATACCATAATAGAAAGAGTACTGCATATTTGAGAAACTAAAGAAATGTAATTTTTTAATTAATGCAACAAGTCTTTGAGGGAAAAAGGAACTATAAATTAAGAAGTAAGTATGGAAACCCTAGAATGACACAGGAGTGAAATCAAGATGCATATCCTACCAATATTTTCACAACAAGAAATGCCCAGCCATAACAAAATTCCTGTTCAAATATAAGCTTATGATATAGACATTTGTTACCAGAAAAAAAAAAAAACACAACAAAACAACCCAACTCAATAAATAAATAAACAACTCCCCACCCCACACACACACAACTTCTTATGGCTTTTATTTTGATAGTATGAAATTTCAGCTTTCCAATGGAATAATGTGGCATGCAGCATATCAAAGTTTTATTTGTCTGTGGATTAATTTAGTAAGCTTTAGTGTCAGAGAGGTAAGGAGTTACATGCTGCCAAGCCAAAAGCATTCGTTTCAAATTCATCAGCTGCTCTCTGGAAGAAAGATGAACAGTCTCCTACTTTGCCATCTGCAGCCTTAAAAACCTGTTGGAAGAGTCGCTCTGAGAGGATCCTGACTAGGTAACACGTAACAACAGTGAAATCATGGACTAATTTATTTATGAAGATAAATGGGGTTTGTTGGAGTGATCATTTTGGAAGGCATTTTAGGAAAATGCAATGGAAACAGATTTCAAAATAGAAGTATAATGTCAAATTTATCTGTTTGGAAGACATTGGCTCTAAGCATTGTTAAACAAAATTGCAAGTAGCCAGGCAATCATCAGAGGAACAGAAATAGAGAAATGAGAAGAAAAAGGTAAAAATGAAAATAACTGAAAGTGGTAGACAATACAGAATTTACATATGGCTTAATTCTGAGTAATGAAGGAAGAATAGGTAAGACAATTCTCTGATCTCCAACTTGGGGACTAGCTAGATATTGTCAGTAGCCAGTACCAGGGATACAGAAAAAATGTAGTAATTTGTGTAAGAAGATAACGGAGTTATTTTAGGGTATTTCACACTGATCTGGAAATAAAGAGAATGACAAAAATATAAAATCAAAGATTTGAAAATTGGCATCATAGAAGTGAGTAAATTTGAGATTCTCAGAATTGAAGATTATAAAGAAGAAATTGTCAAGAAGGCCTAAGAAGTGGAAAAAAAAAAAGCCAGTGTAAATTAAAGATCAAGCTTAAAAGAGAGACAGGGGAAGTAAAACCCAGAAAATGTGTATACTGTACAGCAATCAAGAAAGGAAGTGGAGTGTCAGTAGACAGACAAGCCAAAGAGAAGTTTAAGAGAGAGAGATTGGATTTTACTTCCTGGTAGCGTGTTCTAATTTAAAGTATGTCAACATACTAAAATTATATGGAAAAGGTCTGGCAAATTGTAGACTATGTCTTAATGATAAAAATGAGACCAATGGTATCTAGAAGAAGAAAAGACATATTTTAGGAAGAAGAAAGATGTTCCCACATGATCTGACAGCCTCTGGCTGTTTTCAGTTCTCATGAGTATAACTCTCAGTTATAAATGGAAAGCTATGGGTAGAGCTCTCAGTTCTCATGGGCATAGCTCTCTCAGAACTGTGCCATGTGGTTTCCAAAGCTATAAGTCTTTACAGAAGCAACTCCCTCATCCTTCTCCTGTGCAGCACTGAGTGGATTTGAACGGCCAATGTTTTAGTTAACCTTGCTTTTGGCCATGATGCCAGCACATGTTGATCGTGATAGTACCAAATGTAAGAGAGAGAAAAGAATAAAAATTACAAAGCAGTAACTGTTGTTAACTATCGACAGTTTTGGAGTTCCTTTTTACGAGTGGTTTTACTATCTTTGATGAAGTCTGACTAAATGCATGATAAAATAATTAATATTTCTTGAACTTCCAGTGCAAACCTTGAGTTCTAGTGGAGTAGTTTGTAGGGAGTTGCACTTCTAACCAAAAGACAGTGTCACTCTGGCAGTTTGAATCCAATAACAAGTCCATGGGAGAAAGACGGATAGTCTCCTCCCAAGGAAGTTAGTCTTCAAAAGTCTGCTAGAGGGTCGGCTGTGAGTCAATTCTGATTCAAGGGCAATGAGGGAACGAGTAGGGGTACACACAAAAAACTCTTTCAAACTATACCTTCTCGCTCATTTTTTTTATGCACTCATTTGGTTCTTTTACATCTATCTATCTGGTGACCTAGTGGGTAAGGAATTGTGCTTCCAATCCAAAGGCATATGGTTTGAATGCACCAGATGATCTGTGTTAGAAAGATGGACTATCTCCTCCAGTGAAACTACATCCTCTGAAAAGCCACTGGAGATTCAGTTATGAGTTATGAGTAGGTTCTGACTTGATAGTACATAACAACAGCAATGTTCATTATCATAAAGTGTATCACAGTGAGTAATATTTGAATCACAATAGACTATTTTATTAATATATTAAGCCAGGAAATTAAAAGACGAATTGCATTGAGAAAGTCTGCGGTTAAGAGACCTCTCCAAAGTACTGAAGTACAAATGAGGTAAGTCTGGAGATAAAGGTGCACCTGATCCAGGCCACAGTATTTTCAATTACTTGCTATGCATCAGTAAACTGGAAAATGACTAGGGATGATAGAAGGTGTATTGATGTCTTTGAGCTGTGGTGCTAGAGAAGAATATACCATGGACTGCTAGGAGAACAAACAGGTTTGTCCTAGAGGCAGTGAAACCAGGGTGCTCTTTGGAGGCAAGAATTCTGAAGCTTTGTCTGATATACTTTGGACACGTTGAAAGGAGGGACGTCATGCTTGGGAGGGTGGAGGGACAAAACAGGAGAGAAAGACCCTTGATGAGATGAAATGATTCAGTGATTGAGGTAAAGAGGTAGGTGTGTCAGAGACAATATTATTGGTACAGGATAGAGCAGTGTGTGGAACTGTTGTACATACAGTCACTATGAGTCATAAGTGACTTGATGGCATTTAACAACAACAACAACAACACAGTAATATTAATTTAATCTTTACGATTTCATAGTTTGGCTTTCAAGCTAAACATTATTAAGTGGTAGAAAAAGGATTGGAACCCAGGTACTCTGCCCCTTGAGTTTATGTGTTCATCACTCAGGATCAAGAAACAAAGTAAAATCATTTTCTCAAGTTTTTATAAGAAAGTCATCATAAAAAGAACACAAATTAAACATTACATAGAATAATCTACAGTATCCATGAGCATTAAACCAGCCGGGTTCCATTCTGTATTCTCACGTCCACTCTAAACTCCAACAACGGCACGAAGCAGGCTGAGATGGTTCATCTCACTTCCCTCCTTTCAACACTAATCTTCTCTTGTGTTACTTCTCTTCTATTTGATGTTTTCCCTTTAGGATTGTAGATTTTTATCATTGTAAGTTAAATCTCAGAAAGAAGAGAGTAGAGCCTGTTAGGGAAAAATAGTGCTTCATGAAGAAAGAATGGATAACCACTGATCATAAACGTGTGTCTGTGTGTGTTTGTGTTTAACATTTTATATGCCTGGAACCACTATGAATGTACAATTGTCACGGGACTTTGTAAATACTGGGACAAGGACTCAACAAGAAAGAGGCAGAAGAATAAAATATTTTAATATGTGTATTAAGTCAATTATGGTATAGATCACTTTCTCTAGAGTGAGAGAACTTGAGTCTTGAATCACTAGTTTACAGATTCCTCAGAAAACCCCATCACATTTAAGAGCCAAGATGCAACACCAAAAAATTGATAGAATATGGTTTATATTATAAAGTCCTGTGAGGATTAAATAATAGCATATGGAAAAGTGTAAGAGAAGCCAAAAGCAATGATATTCACCATTACTAATCTGTGAGATTTGTATAAATGATTCCCAGAAAAATTAATCTTATTTGATAGAATCTTGGTTAAAGAAAGGGAAAACATAGGAAAAAAAAATAAGAAAATCACTAGGAAGAGGAGGAGGGAAGCATTCTTATGGTCAAATTAAACAGCTGGGTAATTAATCACTAGTTATTTTCTTAGGAAGCTGTGGAGACACAGTCTGAAGTGAGTTTCCCTGATATCCCAAAGGCTGTGCATCTCCGGAGAGTCAAATGCATCAGATGATGGAGTGAGAAAGAAAGGGAGTCTCTTCCCACTGAAATTTACAGCCTCAGGAAACCTGCTGGTGGGTCTACAATTTGGAACAGATTAAAAAAGAGTGAGTTTGGAGGATTCTTGTGGTCTTTCCTTCCACTGTATTGTAGTTTCCATTCATTATTTACATTTTTGTGAGCATCCTGTTCTGAAGACTATCCCATGGACTGCCAAAAGAACAA